GGGGGGGGGAGCTGATGTTTGTATGGCGCGTGTCGCACGGATTTATCTTAGACGGATATAAAATTCGATGTGTAGAATGTGACTTTTTCTCCACTGATATCACACTGGTACCAGCATCAGTTACTCTACACAAAAGACTGTTAAGTTTGAAATTTCGGATTTCTTTGTTACCACTGCTGCTGGACTTTAGATCTAAATTCGAGCTCAGGCGGACAATCAACGCCATGCGTGCACGAAAGGAACCAAGACAATGTTCAGGTGATAGTCCAGGTCTTGCGAGGGATAATAATTTCACTGATGTTTGGTGGGGGCACGAGTCTGTAACAGGGAAAGGTATTCTTTGGGTAGTTGAGGCAATAGGCAAAAAATTTAAAAGGGAAATAAGGTAAAGATCATGCGAGAATCGAAAAGTTGAATCACAGATGGAGAACCGGTGCACGGGCAGAAGCTAATCACGCCCCAAAGTGAACTGCGTTGGAGAAAGAAAGCCGAGGACTCAAAGAGCATCGAGAACCCGAATCTCCATCTGCGGGCCGTGGCGCCAAAAAAGCCTCCATCTTGCCCTAGATTGTATGATACGAAAACGTCAAAGTCGCCTCGCTTCCTTTTCCTTTTCAGCACTCTAGCTCTTTCGCGTGAATAAACAGTCCCGTCGTCCGATTGTTCCATCCATGATCGGACGAGAGTCCTTCATCTCTTCTTTACTCGGCGGCGGGCTTCTCGCCCTCAGCAGCGGGGGCCTCCTCCTTCTTCTCGGCGGAGGCGTTCTCAGCAGCCGGTTCGGCCTCAGACGAGGTCCAGAGGGTCTACTCGGTGTTAGTACAGGTTGGCGGAATCGCGGTGACAGTGTGCATTTTATCTTACCAAGTTGTCTCTGAGAAGCTGCATGATGAGGGTAGAGTCCTTGTAGCTCTCCTCGCTCAGGGTGTCAAGCTCTGCGACAAACGTTAGTGAGTTGTCCACTTCAATAATCAGGATAAATCGGCTGAAGCATACCAGCAATGGCATCATCAAAAGCAAGCTTGGCCAAGTGGCAAGCCTGGTCAGGGGAGTTGAGGATCTCATAGTAGAAGACAGAGAAGTTAAGAGCCAGACCAAGACGGATGGGGTGAGTAGGAGCAAGGTCGGTCTGGGCGACTTCAGTGGCGGCCTTGTAGGCCTCGAGGGAGGCGTCGGCAGCGCCCTTACGGCGGTCACCGATGGCGAACTCGGCAAGATAACGGTGGTAGTCACCCTTCCTGTTGTTTAAAAAAAACCCCTCCGGTTAGAATCATACCAATCGCGTTGACGTAGGATGACAACAACATACATCTTGTGGTAGAAGACCTTAGACTCGCCGCTCTGAGCAGAGGGGATCAGGTGCTTGTCGAGAACCTCAAGGATATCATCGCAGATCTTAGCGAGCTCGGCCTCGATCTTCTGACGGTACTCCTTAATGAGGGAAACCTGGGACTCGTTGCCCTTAGACTCTTCTTTTTGCTCAATAGAGGTGACGATTCTCCAGGAAGCACGACGGGCACCGATAACGTTCTTGTAGGCGACGGACAGGAGATTACGCTCCTCAACGGTAAGCTCTACATCGGCAGAGGCGACAACCTTCATGTTCTCGACCATCTCTGAATAATCTGTCAATACCGAGTGACTGACGTCGGCGAAGAAAAGATAAACAGACCTTCGTAGCGCTCGGCCTGCTCAGCGAGCTTGGCCAGATAAACAGCATCTTCGTGACCCATTGTGATAGGATTCTGGTCGATTGTTAGTGGAGACGTTTTAATATCGAGCACAGCAATAGAAGAGCCAAAAGCAGCGGGAAAATCAAGTATGAAATGGGGCCTGAATCATGAATGGCATGAGGGGCAAACGGGTAGTCACAGGGTAAATGACGAGGCTGTGATAGTCAAGTGGCCCGAAGAACACGAATTCTAGATCCCTCCGTCGTCATGTTTCTTTCCTTCTAATACCCCCCCCAAAAAAAAGAAAGTATGCGAAGGCTGAATGGAAAAATAATTTTATGCGTTTTTCCAAAACCAAGAAAAAAACTCCCATTCGACTCCAGTATGAAATAAACGTAACTGGGGACGGTCGGGAATTGTTGAAAGTGGGCGTCGCACCGCCGGTCCTCCAGTCGGCTAGCCGTTGACTTGCGTCGCGAATGGGCGATTCCAGAGCGGTAGTCTAAACGGATATCATGGCAGCGAGAGCGACGACCAGCACAAGCAATTCACCCCGTCAACATCATACAGGCACACGCATGTATTATAGCCCAAATAACCCTTCGTTGTATGATTCCCAGACGGTTTGCGATGATGACGACCCAGATGATTGATGGTGATGGTTTGATATGGGGAGAAACAGGGAAAAGGAGGGGGAAAACAGTGGAAGATGACAGAAATGGAATGTTCTCACCTGATGAGTTTGGGGGATTTATTCAGGGGATGGTAGATGGAGATAATAAAAAAAGTTGGGAGGTTGAGAAAAATGGAGGAAGAGTTTTATAACGGGGGAGGGTTAAGCGTTAGTTGCAGGAATAAAAAGTAATGACAAAAGTCGGAGAGGAAGAAAGAGAGAGAGAGACCAAGAGGGGGGAAAGAAGTGGGAGGGGAAAGTAAACGGAAGGGGGGAGTTGGCGGCGGAGACCTAGAGAGTCAATCACTCAGTACCAGCGTCTGGCTCAACGCTTCAATAATTTGGGGGGGGAAGGGAGGGAAGGGAACGTCGTCGACACCTGAGGAATACAACACACCCGGACTCGACGGCCGAATCGTCCAGAATTGACTGTCTTTTTATACGTTTCAATTCGTTTCCCGATTACCTTGCATAGCTCGAAAACTCCTTTTCTTTTTTAATTGTTTGATATTATTCTAGTATTTTTATTATTGTTGTCATATCTAATCCCGTTTCTTTTATTTATTTATTTTTTCCTGTACTTAAGTAAAATACATTGATTCATCTTCCCTTTTTTTCACCCCCGTTCTACAAGAGCGGATGATTAGCCGCGAACTCCCTTTTCCCACATACACAGTCTCTCTCCTGACGGCCTTCTTCTTCGTCCAGACAGTCCGTCGTTTGTGTGGCTCGGTGGGCCTCTCAGCGTCATCCCTATTTCCCTCTCCGCCAATCGTCCCGCCCGCACCAGAGATCCCAGTATGGGTCGTTTCTTCCTTGTATCCTAGTGATTTGCCATTATTGAATGAGCCTCGCAGCTAGTGGTCCTAGTCCAATGGTCACCTCCTCCATAGGCCCATATCCAAGCGCCAGTCCCCTTTGAAGAAATGAGATGTCACCTACTATTATCGTGTTCAACTGTGATTAATGAAAGAATACTAACTACTCCGGGTGCAAATATGATTCCACGGATTTGGTTCGGGTATCGGAAATAACTACAATCGATAAGGGAGAGAGAGACTCGAGAAGGTTTCCAATTGTTTGCTCTGGACGGAGGATTAATGAATCGTTTTTTTTTTTTCTTTTCTTTTTTTTTTCTTTCTCACTCTTCTAGCCCCGACATCTAGAATGAATCCACCCCTGTTTCTAGAATTTCGGATAGGAAGGAAAAATGTGATACTAATTAATAAACACATATTGCGGTATTAATAGAAACATTCAATAATTTTTAATTTCCCGCGCGTGAGCAAAGTAGTAGTTGCTCAGTAGTAACTGTACTGGACTAGGGGATTCCACAACAACAAAATGGGCAGCAACAACAACATCGCTCACCTGACCCGCTGACTCACCTGTGTTGCTAACAGACCACCACATCACATGATCCACCGCGAACCCGAGTGTCGTCATTGGGTCTCGACCTTCGTCTGACAAGCCAAAACAACTGGAAGGTACCAGTGCAACCAACCATTCACCATTCAGGTACTTTAGAAGAACCATTTGTTCCTTCTCCCCTCATTCCTTCTTCTCATTCTTCTCTTTCTCACTCACTCACACATACTCTCTCCTACACCTCTCTTTCAACGAATTGCATCACATCTCACACCTCACCCTTCCCCTCCCTACAATCACCATGCTCCGTCAATCCATCAGACCTCTCACCACCGCTAATCGCGCCCTTGTCTCCCGGTCTTTCTCAGCTCTCGCCCCCAAGATGGCCGCAGGTGATACCGGTGCTCCCCGTCCAGGCGGTGCCGCGCAAGCGTACGTTGCTCTTTATCTCCCCCTTATTGTTTCAGCCTGTCAAAGAGGTCATCATCCGACCGCAGGATGATGACATCATCGTTGATGAATGGGACGCTGGCACTAACGCATGCATTCAGCGACCAATTCACCAAGCGTGAAGCCGCGCAGGAGAACCTCTACATTCACGAGAAGGAGCGTGAGAAGTATGTGTTCACCTTTTCTTCTTCTTTTTTTTTCCGAGCTGTTTCCATTGGCTCAGTTCTATCTGTCATTGGCCCAGTTCGGAATTCCCCGGTTGCAAGTAAATGCTAACTTTCTCTGTAGGCTTTTGGCCCTCCGCAACAAGGTCAAGGAACAGCGCAAGCACCTCGATGAGCTGGACAAGCACATGTATGTCTTCTCCGACTCACAGAATGAGTACTTTGCATTTGGATCGTAACTAACTTGCTTTCTTCTGCGATTGTAGTGAGGAGTTGACCAAGAGCCAGGGCGGTGAACAGAACTAGGTCCTTGGTCGACTCGGATGTCATTTTTGATGATCTCTTTTATATCCGATGACGCAGTTTCTTTAGCTCACAGTTCCCGACCACGGTAGCATGTTATACATGATTTAGTTTCCCTCGATGTAATCTACACTCTTCGGTCTATTTTGATCTCTCTTGTGAGTTTAGATATACGGTAGCTGGCATACCGCCAAGCCATGGACGCGTATAATTGTCATTAGACCATTGTTAAACCACCAACAATAGCTTGAAAATGGAAAGAAAGAAAAAGACACAGCTCCAACCCAGCACAAGTACATTATATTCTCCGGTCAATGATGATGATCGCCGTATGTTTCCTCATAACTAAACCCATGATT